CTGCACTTTTACTGCTCTTCAGCCCAAAAGCAAAGCGGAGGGTGGGAGACATGTCTGTTACTCACAGACACAAACTCAGCTCATGCTTAGTTTGATCCAATCCATTCATTCATCACTGATAGATCACCAACCTCTCATGGTTAGCGTATCCAAACGTAAGCGTGTATTACTTGTTGAACATTACAGGATGACCGTCTCTAACAAGTTTCCATATTTCGTGTATTGGTGCTATCAATGTTCCTTTGATCAGACATTTGCTTCCATCATCAAGATACTGTATCAAGGAAGGATATGGTGTCTGACTTGGAAGAAAGAATTTTGGAAATTGTGGCTGAACACCCAACTGTGAAAAATGTAATTCTGCACATTGGCTCTCATGACATTGAAAAACAACAATCAGAAAAGTTGAAAGAGCACTTCGATAATCTCCTAGAAACAGTCAGCTCTGTGAATGCTGAGGTGTTTATCAGTGGTCCTCTGCCCCCGACCGGGAGAGGAGCTGAGAGATTCAGTAGATTGTTTTGGCTCAACAAATGGCTCTTGTGCAGTTCGTTCAATGCATTCAATCAACAATTTTAGCTTTTTCTGGGACCGCAGGCATCTTTTTAAGACAAATGGACTTTGCCTGAATAAGATGGGAGCAAAGCTTTTCATTACCAACATGTTTTACATCATGTGTCATCCATCTGTCCCCACTGCCAAGGACACGAGACAAGAAGAGGAGCCCACAAAGAAGGAAGAGAAAACACAGCTTATCAGAAACGTCGAAGGAGGACCACCATTGCCATCCCCCTCTAACCCTCCTTCCATTACGTGTGAGGATCCCTCTGCACCAGCTCATCTCAGCGGTGACGCCATCTCACGCCGATCTGCCCTCCCACCTCTACGAAGACGTGCTCCACCTCCACAAATCCATCCCAGCTGTGACGCTGCTCACCCCCCCCCCCTTAGGCCCACCCTCCTCCTCCTGACAGCAGCCCTGAATATTACTGAGATAGAAAAGGGTTCAGCAGTAGACCGCATTATCAGCTGGACCCAAGGTCGCCTACGTCAAAACATGGCACCTTCTGCATTCCTGTTGTGACCACCAAGAGAGTGAACATTGCAAAACTTAGACACACTGCTAATCTAACAAATCTCATTCCTATTCTCTCCAGCTCAAAGTCAACCCCAAAGCCTGTGAATAACACCATCAGGATGGCTCTGCTTAATGTTAGGTCTCTTAATAACAAATCGTTTTTAGTCAATGATTTTATTACCACTTCTAAACTTGATTTTATGTTTTTAACTGAAACATGGCTAGAACAAAATAACAGTGCAAGCATTCTGATTGAGGCAGCACCCCCCAACTATAACTTTATTGATGTATGTAGATCTGGAAAAAGAGGTGGAGGAGTTGCTGCTATATTAAAAAATATATTTCAGGGGAAACAGATGTCACTTTGTGATTTTCCATCATTCGAATATTTTTGTGTTGTATTGAAAGGTTCTCCCAGAGTTCTCCTGTTAATTATTTACAGGCCACCTAAATATTCTGCACATTTTTTCGATGATTTTACTGAATTATTGTCTAGCATCTCTACCGACTTTGACTGTCTAGTTATAACTGGTGACTTTAATTTTCATACTGACGATTTGAATGACAAGGGTGCAAAAGAACTTTTGACTGTTTTAGACACATTTGAACTGTCTCAACATGTGAAAGAGGCTACTCATTGTAAGGGACACACCCTGGACCTGATTATCACAAAAGGTCTCATTGTTTCGGATGTTTTTGTGACTGATCCCTCATTGTCTGACCACTTCTGTGTTTTCCTTAATATTTCTTTTATTCCTGACACACAATCAAAATCAAATACTGTCAAAAAACGGTACATCAATGAACATACTAATGTACTCTTTAAAAATGTCATCTCCTCGTTACCACCTCTAATCCCATGTCATGCTGATAATCTTGTAAACAACTTTAATTCCAAAATTTTGAATGTTATAGATGACATTGCACCTGTTACGGTTAAAACCAGTTCTAGTAAGCAAAAGGCACCCTGGAGAAAAGCTGCTGTTGTAACAGCCCAGAGGAGAGAGTGCAGGAAGGCTGAACGAATCTGCCGGAATACAAAACTTCATATTCACTATGACATCTATAAAGAGCGCCTCCGGGCCTACAATTTAGACTTAAAAAGTGCTAGGGAAACATTCTTCTCCAACATCATTAACAACACTAATAAGGCAAAAACCCTATTTGAAACTGTTGACAGACTGACCAACCCCCCAACACAAATACCACCTGAACTCCATTCCACACAGAAATGCAATGAGTTTGCGTTCTTTTATACTGATAAAATTGAAGGCATCAGACACGCCATTAATATCTCAAACAAAAATGTTGGATCACCACCCTATTTAGGCAAAAGTAACTCAGCAATGATGACAAGCTTTAATGCCATAGACTCTCAAACTCTAGTGGAAACGGTGACAAATTTAAAACCATCCACCTGCTGTCTTGATGCTCTACCTACCAACTTCTTTAAGAATGTTTTTGACTGCCTAGCAACAGACATATTGCAAATAGTTAATAACTCTATTCAGACAGGCCATTTCCCAAAAGCTTTCAAAACTGCAGTTATTAAACCTCTCCTAAAAAAGCGGAGCCTAGATGGCTCTATTATCAACAACTACAGACCAATTTCAAATCTACCTTTCATAAGTAAAATAATTAAGAACGTTGTCTTACAACAACTTAATCACTTCCTGGCTTCAACTGGCTGCCACGACAATTTCCAGTCAGGATTTCGACCTCTTCATAGCACCGAGACGGCCCTTATTAAAGTTGTAAATGACATCTGTCTTAACACAGACTCTGGCAAAACTTCAATTTTAATGCTATTAGACCTCAGTGCTGCATTTGATACAGTCGACCACTCAATACTTTTGGACAGGTTGGAAAACTGGGTGGGGCTCTCAGGCACAGTCTTAAGCTGGTTCAGGTCATATCTACAAGACAGGAACTATTTTGTTTCCATTGGTGACTTTGTATCAGAAACAACCAACGTAACGTGTGGAGTCCCCCAAGGTTCGATCTTAGGGCCGACTTTATTCAACATCTACATGCTCCCACTAGGACAAATCATGCAAAAAAATAAAATTTACCACCATTGCTACGCTGATGACATCCAAATCTATGTAGCGCTTTCACCAAACGACAATCGCCCCATAGATCTTCTGTGCCAGTGCATTGAGCAAATCAAAGACTGGATGTGTCAAAATTTCCTACAACTAAATGAAGACAAAACTGAGATCATTGTATTTGGTGCTAAAAAAAGAAAGGTTTAAAGTAACCCAACACCTTCACTCTCTGTCCCTGAAAACATCAAATGAAGCCAGAAGTCTGGGGGTTATTATGGATTCAGATTTACATTTAGAGAGTCACATCAAATCAGTGACAAAATCGGCCTATTACCACCTCAAAAATGTAGCACGACTTAGAGGGCTCATGTCAGCTCAAGACTTAGAAACACTTGTACATGCCTTTATAACTAGTAGGCTAGACTATTGTAATGGTCTCCTTGCAGGTCTTCCAAAAAAAACTGTCAGGCAGCTCCAGCTTGTTCAGAACGCTGCTGCTAGAGTTCTAACAAAGACCAAAAGATGTGAGCACATTACACCAATTCTTAAATCCTTACATTGGCTCCCAGTATGTCAGAGAATTAATTGCAAAATCCTACTGCTTGATAATCAAAGTTCTTTTCATGGGCTTAGTTGGGGGTTCGCTGTCTTGTCTTGATTTAAGAGTTAGGTAAGGGGGGAAGCAGGATGTGCCGAGCAGGCAGACACGAGTCTGACAGGATGGGGAGTCAGTTTATGTCCTGGCTGAGGAATGCAAGGTCTGCGGGTGAACTAGCAGATTTACCAGCCAAAGGGGGTTTAGAGACACACCAACACTATTCAACATACACACTCTGTTCGCTGATGTTTACGTTAAGTCAGGAGTCTGGACATTGGATGTGACCGGATCTTCAGATGCGGGGGGTGAAAGGTCCTCCTCTACGCCAGTTTAGGGCCAATAGAAATCTTTCCTTCTCTGTCTTTCAAGGGTTATAAAACATGATGTTCTTGCTGATGTTAGTGAGTTGTTCTTCCGGCCTGTGTGCTGCCTGAACTGCTCCTGCCTTTGCAAACACAGCGCTGATACTTGACCTGTGATCTGACAAATAAATCTCCCAGAACGAGAGAAGTCCCTTGGCTGAATTTTTGAAAACCCCGACCAGGCTCCAATTCTTGAACACGTATTCTTACACAGTCCTATCCGGCTGAAGTGACATTATCGTGTAACTATTGATAGTATCCTTTTAAATCAAATCAGAAATTGATCAAAAGTAGTCTCGTGAATTCGATTTTGGAGGAAGTTGGATGTTAAAAATGAGGTTTCCAAAGCTGCTTGCAGCTTTAATCATTATTATTATTATTGTTAAATTATCTGGTGGGCACATTTAGCCGCCACTCCGTTGCTTCTATCATTCTTTGCTGCAGGATTACCCTAACCACCAGAAAACTTGGAAACGTTTTCCATCATTTACAGTCATTTTTGTTTTTTTACAGGCGTCCAACGCGTCCATATATGGATCCAGGGCCGCTTGTGAAAGTATTCCACGTGACCTGCTCGCAGGCCATTAGCCACTGCCATCCATAACCTCAGCAAACAGCAACAGAACGCCGGCGCTAGAGTTTTAATGATCGCAGGCTGGGCCCGGGGGGAGCTAAGGTCATGCTGCCGCTCCCCCAACCCGCCATCTCCTCCCCCCGTCCGGCTCTCGGTGTTTGTGCATGTTCTTTGGGCATACTTTGGGCCCCACCCCCCTTCATTAAAATCCTTGTTATTGATTGGGTGGGCTGCTAACAAAGACCAGATGGGTGGGGGGGTGATGGTAGCATCACCCCCCCACCCATCTGTATTTATTCAGCCTTGATACTACAAAGAAACCGCCTCACAATTGCGTTAGCCTGCTGTCACTCAAGGGCCCCGGCCAATCCAACCAAACCCTGACCAAACCAGCACCCCCGCTGCCAAATGTGCCATACGAGAGGAAGGTAGCTGCTGCTGAGAAAGCTGTACGAATGTGGACACCCAGTGGAGAGATACGATCCTGTTTTGTGCTGGAAGAAGGAGAGAATTTCACTTTTGCATTCCCCCTATTTGCCGGCGGTTTTCCTATTTGCATCTGAAGTGCGAGCCATCGTTAGTGGCGTCCCAGTGGAATGGAGGGTGAGCAATGACACGCCGCCAAGGGGACTGAGCGGTGGCTTTCTTTGTATTGTGTAGAGCAGGTGGGCCTGTAGATTCTTTTGTGATATTCATGGAGTGGACTGTTTGCTCGGCGCGTGTGCGGGCAGGCGTGTGTGTGTGGGTGGGTGCGTGCGATGCATGTGTGTACAGTGGCTTGTTGAGCAAAGCGAGATTAGAGGGGCGTGAGGGGGGGGGGGGGGGGGGGGGGGGGGGCGTTAATTCTTTGTGTTTATTATCCGATATGTTTCCTTTCATTCTGCGCTTTTTGGGACATGATTAGAAATTAATGTTTTTTGACAGATTATTGTCGTAAATCTGCTGCTTCAACAACATCTTAGTCTTTTAAAGAAATACTGCTGGTGAATAGCCTACATCAGCCAGGACTAAATAAAAGAACAAATAATAAAATATGGATTTCTCTTTTCCGATTGCCTTATTGACGAGGGAGGCAATTTCAGAGTCGGCAGTGATCGATCCATCTTTTCTTTATCGAAGCTGGTCAGCCTCACACACACAAAGAAACACACACATGAACACAACAACAGGACCGGATCTAATAAACCTTGTGTACTCTTTTCTGTTTCTGATCGAGCAGTCGACGCATCGCTGTGGATGTAAATGCTCTGGAATGATTCTGGATGTCTGAGTACTGATCTTGTGTTTCATAGTCTGTACCAAAGCTGCGCTTGTTGCTTGCTCTTTTCACTCCAAACAGCTCAGCAGTTATATTCTGCATTTTAATCCCTTTATTTATTTGCGCGTCTCCTTCACTTTCCTTTAAGTGAGAGCACCGGGTCGTCGCCATAACACCCGAGGATCCCACACAGCTAATTGCAGGGCAGTCTTGATTGCATTTTAGTTTAATTTAGAGACTGTGACATATAAATTGTGTTATAACACTGGGCATTGTGTAATGACTCGACACAGGGGAATCTGAACTCCAGCATATCTCTGCCTTCTGAAAAGCTAACAGGCTAACGCCGTCTTTGTCTTTGTCTCGCCCTCCTCACATGAGACTGCATGGACATTGACGTCGTTATGAGCCGTTGTATCATTCCCCCCTACAGTCTGAGGCTTTTTTCCAACCTCTTCTTTATTATTAATATTACTTTTAGCTAATAGTTCATGGCTTAACTGATTTAATTAGCTTTTAAAAAACCCGGAAATGTTCTTTTCTCAGCCTGAAATATATCATGCCTCTGAGGAGAAGCATATCTCCCTAAATTAAATTAAATAAGAAGAGTATTATCCTTCTTCATCTGTATTTTGTACATGTTTGGGTGTTTCACTGCTTTTACTGTCAATTGCTGCCGGTTGCTAGGCAACGGGAGAAGCGGAGGGAAAGTCGATGACGCAAACAGGAAGTCTTCCCGTAGGACAGACGGATCTATTTCAGGGATCGCTCTGTTCAGCCTATGCGGTTGTTGGAGGACCCCGGCCACGTATTGAGACATAGCTACTGCTTCAGTTTGCTACCTGGGATGGTACTAGCCAGCATTGCACTAGCTAGCATTGTGCCATCTAGCATAGTGCTAGCTAATTTGCGCTAGCATTGCACTAGCTAGCGTTGCGCTAGCTGCCACTGGCTCATGCACATAATGTTACATAAAGAGATGACTTGAGCTAATTAGTAAAGCAATTGTCTTCCGTCCTCTCTGTCTGTCCGTTTCTCTCTAATTCTCACATCTCTGAGATTTTGACCGGACCACCGAGTTTTTAGCCCGTCAGATGTTTTATGCTTTTTTTCCGACCTCCTCTTTATTATGGGTGTGTACTGCACGGCTCAGAGCCTGTGACGTCATTGCCCGAGTGCTTGTCACCTCACGGCTTTGGATTTTCTGCGCGCGAGTATCTGGATTCGTGTTTTTGTTTCTTAGCCAATCGCTGTCAGTTCTGTATATTCTGTCCAATAAAAATCGGTCACTCACTGGTTGCCAAGCGGTGAGTGAGTGAAATCCCTGACATCTGACTCATTGAGGTTCAAGAGCTGAAAGAAGTAAGTAGATTTTCTTCAAATGTGATTACAATTAAAATTATATTAATAATATCTGACATAGTGTATATGTATATTCGTATATCTATTGCTATCTCTCTCTCTCTCTGTCTATATATATATATATATCAATTTCTTAAACATTGCTAGCTAGACTCAAAATATCAGTCATTTAGCTCCTGTTTTAGGCTAACTAAAACTAAAACTAAAAGCATACTAAATGTGTACTTGCTTACTCCCGAAATCATCCTAACTTTGTGTTTAACGTGTTTATTTAAATATTTCAGAATGGCACTCAAACAACTCCTGTGGACAAAAGCGCCCAATAATTATTACAGGCCACCACCAATCCACTTTGTGTGTGGTTTTTAAAAAAGAGCCGGCCAGGGTGGTGACCTGGGAGTTCGATGTGAACGGTGTGAGACCAGGACTGGTTAAGAGGAATGTCCTGGTTGCTCTCACTGATGGCCAGTCGGTGGCTAAAGTCACCATTTATGAGGAGTTTTCCTCAACGTGCCAAGAGGGGGGGAGCTATTTTATGAGGTGGTACGGACTGAGAGGAGAGTCCGTGCCCTACTCAATTAATATTTCAAGGGAAACCATGTTCTTTCGGAGTGGCCCAATTGAGGTTACGCCGTAGCTCAGGAGGCAGGCGGAGAGCCTCATCTGCCCCCATCTCCTCTCACCCCCCTGAGCAGCTGCACGGACACCAAGGGGCTGTTCACAGTAGAGGGTGAAGTGGTCCAAGTAAGTCCAGTTTCAGCCTGTGGTGGTGTAAAAAAAGGGCAACCAGTTTGATATTTGGTGCATGTTGGCATAAAGTGTTAATAACTCACACATCCATCTTGTTTAGATGTCAATGGTGAAGAAAATCACCAAAGGGAGAGAGGCCTTTCCACTGCGCCAGATTAAGCTTCAGCAGGTAGGCAGCCATTAAATGGAGAGAGAGACCGATGGACAGACACACGCAAAGACAGACACACACACGCACACACAGACACACACACACAGACACACACAGACAAAGACACACACAGACAGACACACACACACACGCAAAGACAGACACACACACGGACACACAGACACACACACACACAGACACACACGCACACACAGACACACACACACGCACACACAGACACACACACAGACACACACAGGCAGAAATTAGGTATTAAAATATAATTTCATCTCCATGTTGCAGGGGAAAACAGAGATGGCTCTCAGCCTGTGGAGGGAAGCTGCAGCATCTGATGTGCTCCAGGTTGGGGCAAATGTCAGGGTGTCCCATCTTAGGGTTAACCAGGGACAGTTTGGGACACAACTGCAGTCCACCAACTTCACTTCCATTGAGGTTGGTCTACTTTGGCTGAAAAAAGTCTTTCAATCACATCTTCAAACTATACAGGGAAGTCTGCTGAATTAATGTTGTGATTGTATTCAATGTAAATGAAATATATTTGAATTGACAGTAAAACGTATGCACACTTGAGTAAATGTGTATTTAAAAAGCAAGGCCTGGGATTAGTTTATTTGCATTATTAAAAGGGAGATAAATGGTTTGGTGTTTTGGTAAGTGCTGACTGAGGTAGAATATCTGATGTCAATGTTTCTCTCCACAGGAGGTGATCTCAGAGGAGGTGGTGGATGCGTGTGGGGTGATGGAGTTCGAGGGCTTTCCAGGCATCCTGAACCTCCTGCTGGAGGACGACCACACGACTACCATTAGTAGGGCTCTGTGGGCATCCATAGAGCCCCACATCACCAACCCGCCCCTAAGGGTAAAGCTGCAGAAGCACGGAAATCGGGTTGTCAAAAATGAAATGGTTAAAAGTTAATTTGTTTTTTATGTTGTTTCTTTGTTCCTGAATGTGTAGTTATTTATTCAGTTAGTGTTATTTTTGTTACATGTTCATGGAGGAATAAATTTGAAATATTTAAAGAACGATTCTGCTTTTTTAATGGTGTCCTTTGTTTCATGGAATCTTCATTATTGACCGTAAATGCTGTAAATACTTTTCTGGTGATTTGTATAATATACATATGTGTCTGATGAGTCCGGCCTGGTCCACAGAGCCTATCGGCGAGCCAAAGGGGGGCAGTAGTTCTGACAGTGGGGTACCAGTGATCAGAGCCCCCGAACAATACTAGTGGGGATGCCCGTAGATATTAGTGGAAAGTCACTTTAATGCCTTAACGTCTATGCTTTAGACCAGCGGTTCCCAAACTCAAGAATGCTGCGGCCCAATTTGAAATCTGAAAATCTTTTGCTGCCCACCCAAACCTTTAATCACAACTCTGATCAAAACATAATGATAATTGTGTTTAAATAAATGATAATCAAAATACATTAATAAGCTTAAGAATTTAACCAAAATCAAACATCCGCGAGCAAAAGTCCGTCTCGAGCGAGGTATTTGCTCGCTTGCGAAACGTGAACTTCGTTGCTCGCGAGGAGAATCTTTGCTCGCGCTCAAAGGTGTTTTCTACGGGCTCGCTGTTTTTCTTTTTGACAGTAAGGGGGCGGAGCCAGTCACCATGGTCTCTACACCTGATTGGTTACAAACCCCGTTTTTGGATTGGCTGGAGTGACGCATTCACACAAGGGGGTGTGGGGAGGTGGAGACGGTGCTTTCAGGGTCCGATCGATGTCGCGAGGTGCGTCCGCCCCCGCCGCCCCCTCGCCATCCACGCCTTAAATCTTCGGCTGCTTTTAGAATAACTTATTTCCCCTTTAAGATGGTTCAGCTACTGTAGAGAAAAAGACGCCGTCTCTCGCTCTTTAATCTCATGAACTTCTCGGCGAGAACGACAGCTTTGTTTCTCCGACGCGCCCTGAAACAAGCTCCATATCTCACGCGCTTGAGCGCCGCTCAGCATCTCGCCGTCGTAGACGAGCTTTGGCATGTTTGGCAGAGCGCCTTGAGCGCCGTGTACAACCAGTGTGGATCAACCGATTAACCAATTGATCCATATATATAAG